GCTGCCATGTATTCATCAGCCTCATTGTTGGCTCCACGTTCTCACCCGAGCTGTCTCTTTTTCTTTTTGCTTTGACATTTATCATTTCTTTTATTACATGTATCCTTATTTAAATTTTAGCTTTCCGAAACAAGGCAAAGTGTAAGTAAGTGTTAAAAATAGAAAGTGTAACCTTCCTAACACATGGGTTGTCCCTCAATCAAAGGTTTAAACTGCCACTCCGTTCAGGCAACTGACCAACAGTGCGCAGCCGAGAAGTTCACATCACCACCAAAGACCAGGGCCACAGGAAGGCATGCAGCTTTGGCCCCACATGTAACAAAGGTTAGTTTCCTACAGATCTCCTAATCAGTTGGCCTGATAACTACATTACAGCTTCACCATCTTCCTTGTACTGACCACAGGCTGCATGCGAGGCACTGCCGGCGCCTTACGCACACGGCTCCCTTCCTCACACTAATGCCGTGTAATGGAACCACCGCACCTTCACAAGGAGCAGCATTACCTCTCCAAATCCAAGCGGCAGTCAGAGCCCGCAGCCACGGTCTCCGGCGCCGGCTACGCCAAAGCCGCTGTCCCCGTGCCCATTACAAAGCTGCCCCTGGAAGGGCGAGCAGCTCCGGAGGTACCTGCGGAAGTCAGGGGTGCTGGACACGCTGACCAGGGTATTGGTACCTTATGTGAAGAACCAGAGAAACCTAATGGTGCTTTGGATTTTTTAAAGCATCACTTGGGAGCTGCTACCCCAGAAAATCCAGAAATAGAGCTGCTTCGTCTGGAATTGGCAGAAATGAAAGAGAAATATGAAGCTATTGTAGAAGAAAATAAAAAACTGAAAGCAGTTTGCTCAGTATGAACCACCTCAGGAGGAGAAGCATGCTGAATAGGGCTATTCTCAGTTGAAGACTCTGAAAAATGTTTTGTAAGACTTGAATAGTTTGTATTGTATATACATATATAACCTTTTCTGAACAGATGCTATAGAACTTATATATGTGTGTGTTAAATTCACCTATCACACTTTTACTGTTATAAACACATACTCTTATAATCACCAATAAAAACTCAATATAAAAAGAAGTATAAGTGGCACAGCCAGGAAAGGAATCAGACTGATTATACTCAAATCTCAATTATTCCCAATAGACTCTGCTGCCCTTGCATATGCGTAAACATGCATGTAGAAAAAGTGCCATTAACTACATGTATCAAGGACACCATTTTATTCGACAATACACATAAATTTCCTTGAAGTAACTGTTCCTGCGGTTTTTGTTGTTGTTGTTGTTGTTGTTTGCTTTTGGTTAGTACTGCTCACTACAGCTTTTCCACTTACAGGAGAGGAACTGTCTTTAAAATTATCCCAGAAAATGTGCCTCTGTGCAACCAACAGGGTAACACCCGGGAAAAACCTGCGGAGGACGGACAGCTGCTGAACGGATCCGTCACTTGGTGGCAACACCACGCAGGCTGCCAGAAAAAGATCAGAAGTCACCTAATCTGAAGCCAACCATACTTTCTGGGAGACAGGCAAGGGAAACGAGGGAAAGCTTCTTCATCTGAACACCTTCTCCTCCGGCCCACTCGCCCCAGGGCAGGGCTAACACTGCTCCAGCCTAAGCACAGGCTAACTCTCCAGTCTGTACAGACAATGTGCCACCCAGAAAGGGAGGTACAAAATAGGAGAGAGGCTTCTCTGAACCTGTGCAACTCCCTCTTCTTGATTCCTGTGGCTTTATTTAATTCTCTCCATCAAGGCCTCTCAGATATGAGGCACTTTAATGGTGAATTATTTCTTATCCTACATTGGCACTGATCTCTATCTGCCTTATTGGTCCCCCAATTAGACCAGGAAGATAATTAGGGTAGAGGCAAAGGAAGCCTTAGGTCAACAGGAATCCTACAAATTTCAAATACAAGACAGCATGGCCTGGGCCTAGAGACAATAGTGCCCAGGGGTACAGTGCAGACTTACTACACGGAGACAGAGCGAGTGCCAAGCAGTGGCCATACCAGTCAGAGCAGAGCTCGGGCCAATCTTTTCCCCTCCGGACACCCAGCCCTCAGTGTAGTACCTGCCACATCAGGGTAAGTGTGGGGTTCACTACCGCTGCATGAACACGGGGGAGAGGGGGCTCGAGCTCCAAAACATTACTACTGGCTCTTCACCGTGAACACGGTAATGGGTTTATGGAGCATCAGTCTCAGCTGTAAAATGAGAACAATATCTACCTCATATGGTAAATATAAGTTAAAAATGAACACATATTTAGCACACTTTCTGGTACATAGTAAATGTCCCATAATCATCTGGGCTGTTATTATTATTCCACAATGTTAATACAGGTCCACAATGATGGATCCAAAATACTAAAGATCAGAATTTTTCAATAAAAGAGTGCATATAGCTCGTTCGCTCTCTCTCTATATATACACTAGTATGCACGCACACCTTTGAACAGAATTTGGGACAGCAACCCACAATCAAACATATTAATACTTTTGCAGTGGAATACATCCTAAGCAAATAAAGATTATAATAGTCACACATACGTTCTCTTCAAGTCAAATGACAAGTGAAAAACACTAAGTCTCCCGCGATTTGGGGGTTTTAGACTGAAGAAAGGGCTGCGGGGCTGTACTCACAAAAAGCACCCGTCCCCACTCAGATGCTTGTTGCCACAAAGCCCACTAAATGTGCAGGTGACTGCAGTGCTTGGCTGAATAAAAGCTGTGGAGATTAAGTAGGAAAGCTGCTCGGCATACGTTTCCCTCATTCCCTCGAGCTGCCACAGCCCGGACAGTGTCACCTTGTCTGTCTGAGAAACAGTCTATGAGCTCTCGGCCAACATCCTTCGCAGCACCCGTGCCAGGCAGGACTCCATGCGAGGCTCCGCGGTGAATAAAACAAAACAAAACTCTGCTCGCGGTGCTATTCTGAAAAACTAGTCAACCTCCAAAATCCTGGGTTCCCCTTGGCAGCGCTACTGCTTTCTTCTATCTCCCACCAAATTCTGGTTTCTCCATTCCTGCACACCCTCCACTGTGACATCTGCTTCTTTACCGATGCTCACCCCACCTAGACTCTGAGCTCCTTGAAGACAGGAACCAAGTCTTGATAACAATTGCTAATGTCTGAGTGTTTATTACGTGCAGGCATGTGATAAGATTATGGCATACACTCTCAGTGCTGACAGTTATTCGATCATGCCAACATCATGGACGAGGAAACTAAAGCTTGGAGAGGTTAAGAAGCTCCTGCAGTGTAGCAGACTGTAGGTTACTTAGTTAACCAAGGTACCTAGGTCCCTGCCTAACCTTCCTACCAGGAGTCTGACACTGTCCACATATCCCCCATTCACATGGCCAGTGCTTCATTCAGCGGAAGCTGGCCCCCTTCTTAACACAGCAGGTTAAGCATGCCAGTCAAAGGAACCATGGACACCATCCATTGCCCAGTGAGGCTGGGGGAGGCACGCGAAGCCACTCTGCGATGTAAAGTCTGCCGGGAGCTTCGAGAAAGATTTCCTCTCAGGTGAAGACAGCGGACACTCTTCTTCCCTGACACTGTGGACTTCTTAAATTCTTAGAGGAAATTAAGCTACTAACAGTAACTAAGTCAACTGAGCCCGTTTTTGGTTACTCTCTACCGGAAGCATCCTACCTCATACATAGGAAGAGTGGTGGGGCTGTGCTTCCAATATGCAAGGTGACTGCACAGCCCTCAAAAGTGTAACGACTCGCCAAAACCGGTCTGGCTCAATGGATAGAGCGTCGGCCTGCAGACTGAAAGGTCCCGGGTTCGATTCCGGTCAAGGGCATGTACCTTGGTTGCAGGCACACCCAGTAGGGGTTGTCCAAGAGGCAGCTGATCGATGATTCTCTCTTATCAATGTTTTTAATTCTCTATCCCTCTCTCTTCCTCTCTGTAAAAAATCAATAAAATATATATATTTTTTTTTAAAGTGTAACGACTCGAGTCTGATCTCTCAACTCTGTGACACGCCTACCTTCCAGCACCAATGCCACATGGTAAGGAGCACCTGTTAACTCCAACTAAGTGAATAAACAGATGAAGAAGAATTTAAGCCCAGCTTTTAAATAAATTTTATATCCAGTTGTAGGTGAAATATTAGATTCCTATGTAACACCCTTCATAAGTATAGTCTGCTGACTCTTAGACAAGACCAAGGTTAATGTATTTGGAAAACAGTGTATAACATACTCAAGTAAACAAAGAAATACTGTAAGCACTAGTTTCCAAGTGCAGATAAATCTCAGAAGACTGGGTCAATGAAAAAAGCACAAAAATTCTGTTTCTGTAAGCCCCTTTCACAATGTCTACAGCACCCACTGGCAACACAACCTAGAACCAAATGTGCCTCCCTCTTGTCAAACTAAAAGCCAACCCGCAGTCATTTACCCTTAGGGAAGGGGGAGGCAGAGAGAGCGAGATACCTCTTCTGCACTTCAAGTCCAGTCCAGTTTTTATTCATGAAAACTCTGTCCTTGGTATATATGGTCAACCTGCACATCTCAGCTGGTCAGAGGACCCTGCCCCTTCCATCAGGAGAGGGCACGGAAAGCCCAGGTTCTAGAACTGAAGTAGAAGCTCCAGGCCATCACAGTCCCCGAGAAAATCAGGAAGTTAGTCCTCATTCAGGAAGGGCCACTCAGCAAGATATGACCCGCCTGGGATAGGACACAACATTCACTTCTACCCTAAGGCTTGTGAACTTTCCAACATAAGACCTTCTCTTTATGGTTCATTCGGCCTTCTCTCAAAGTGATGAAAGATAACAGTTCTTATCTCAAACAAAAGTCAAAGGAAACTCTACTTCTTCTAGAATGAAATGTCTAAGAGCCATAACCTAACCAGGTGTCTTACTGGAAGCCAAGGAATCATGCTGATTGCTCACAAAGGATTTTTTTTCTAAGGACCAATTCGGATCCACCAAGGCGGCCCAGCCACCTGGAGTGCCTTCTAATGCACAGCTTACCTTGTAATTGCTAGAGTTCACCCAAGAGGTAGCGAGTCCATCCACAAGTTTATCTAACATGGTCTGGTCATGCTCAAGGTCAGCAGACTTCTGTTTGTCTGAGAAATAGTCTATGAGTTCTTGGCCAACCTGCAGTCTTTTCCCCACATCCTTCTGCAGCACCTGTGCCAGGCAGGACTCCATGCGAGGCTCCATGGTGAAGTAAAATCGAGATGCAGCAAAAGCTAGAGGGCAGTCAGGGTGACACCCTCCCAGTCAATGTACCCAGGAGGTTGCCTCTTTGTTCGCTGGAGGTTACTAAGAGCCTGTGTTTCAAAGATGCAATCCGGGGAATGGCAACAATGCACCATGTGTGTCTGAAGAGCAGCTGGCAGGATATTAAAAGTTCAATTTAAATAACTAGTAGAAGATACAGGAGTGAATGGCAGAGGGAAGTTCTGGTACTGGGTCTGAAATGCTTCATAATTCAGCAGTCCATTCTGAAAAGTAAGAAAACAACAAATCAGCACAGATAATCAGCACACACCTGTTATAAAACACTGAATCAAAGACAAAGCAGCTCATACTGCAGAATCATTTATAATCACAAGTGGAAATGAGAATCAGAAATGCTCTGCAACCATATCAGAATAACATAATCATTATTTTTTTAAGATTTTTAATTGACTTTTTAGAGAGAATGGGAGAGGAAGAGAGAAACATCCATTAAGAGCGAAACATGGATCGGCTGCCTCCCGCACACTCCCTACTAGGGATCAAGCCCACAACTTGGGCATGTGCCCCAATCAGGAATCTAACTAGCAACGATACACCCAACCAACCAAGCACACAGACCAGGGCCAGGATTACTATAATCAGGAAGAACACTGAAGGCCCAAGCAGAGCCAATGGGCTACACAGTTGGTGGGTTGAGGTTTGTCACAATTTTCCAGCCTAAAAATGCACCAGTCAGCAAAGCACTCTTTGCTTTAGCTGGCATATTTCATTGTTAAATTTTGCTTCCCACCGAAAACTTAACACCATTCTGTGTCTGAAGCTTATTGCCTTCCTCTGTTTTCTAAAACACCAAGGGCTGGATATGGGGTGGGCTCCTAGAAACACATTGACCGAAGTGGTCAGTCTGACAGCACTGGAAGTCAACGCTGTACCGACATCAAACTTCTTGCTCAGCAGCTTTACCGCAGTTGAGCAATAGCCTTTATCCTCTCCACAACAAAGGAAGTAAGGAAGGAAAGAAGGAAATCGGCTCATATTCTGATCAGTTATTGACATGGAGCTCTCCATTGGCAGACAGTCGCTCCACCTGGGCCTAGAACTGTTATAAAAGCAGGAGACCTCAAAATCATGTTTGGGCAGGGCAAAACACATGATACAGGAAAAGTACCACAATCTTTTTATTAAGTGAACAAGCTGACCATTTACTCTACAGCTACTGAAACAACTGTACACACTTCTTACGTCAATTCCTTTCACTCTCACCTCAGAGGACCCGTAGAAAGCCTACCTTCCAGATGCAGCACCCCTGACACTGCTAAAGAGAGATTTCTGCACAGTAACCCTGCAGCCTGACCCCCAGGGCTCCAGCAGGGAAAGCTGAACTATATATTACACCAAGTTCAAAGGCTGTGCATGGCAGCTCTTCCACTCTGCGCTCAGTAATTCTTTCCCTAGCATCACCCAGCCTCATCCCCTCTCAGTACACGAAGCTCAATGGTCTTTCCAGAATCAGAGATTCTTTAAAAATATATTTTATTGATTTTTTCAGAGAGAGGAAGGAAGAAAGAGAGTTAGAAACATCAATGAGAGAGAAACATCAATCAGCTACCTCCTGCACACCCACCTACTGGGGATGTGTCCGAAACCAAGGTACATGCCCTTGACAGGAATCGAACCTGGGACCTTTCAGTCCGCAGGCAGACGCTCTATCCACTGAGCCAAACCGGTTAGGAGAATCAGAGATTTTTTTATACCAACAGGAATCATGTAAGTCAGTAAGGAAAATGCTCCCTCAAAGCCCCCGGTGTGTGCTTGCCTGACTCCTGCTTTACTGCTTCTAACAACACAGCGAGCTGAGGCCAGGGAATAAAACTCACCACCTCACAGGGCAAGCCTTCCTTAAAGAAAGGAGGCATCTGCTTTCTAGTCATTTCCGCTCCCTGGAACTAGTCCCTCCCTCACAACAAGGATCTTAGATACATAAAAGCAGCTATTACCCTTCTTTCCAATTTTGAGTTCAAACAAAATGTCTCCAGTTCCTTAATAGCTCATACGTTGGACTAAAGAAGGTATCAGCGATACAGGAAACAGGAGAAACCAACAGAACCTTTTCTCTCTAGGCCAAATATTAGCCCAAGAAGCAGATCAAACAAGGTTGGGCTTGTGAAATGGCCACAAATTCTTTGCTACCCCTCCCCCTCCAAGGCGTAGTCTGTCACGCCCACAGTGACTCTAGAACTGGTCGGAGACTTGCTGTGGCAGTTGGAAATCAGCAACTGCAAAGCGAGCAGAGGTTTGACAGCAAGCACTGGAGCTCCCTCAGAATGCCGAGACTACCAAAGCCTCTCTAGCGTCCAAAACGTGAGAGGCCATGTTCTCCAGCCCAGCTCCAGCAGCACGGCCAGGCCTGAGCGAGGCCAGATGGGACCAGGCAGCCACTCATTGGACTGCAGCTACACAAACCACTCTAAGGAGACCAGCAGAAAAGCCACCTAGTCCAGGCACACCAAGAGCTAACTGAGCCACTCCTTCCTTCCCTAGACATCTATCTGTCATTCTCAGGGGGAAGAATCCCATGTCCTTTACTCCTTCCAGGAGCCTAAGATCAACTGGCACTAACCAATGATGATGGTAACACCATTTTAAAGACTACCTCAGGTGCCAGCTTCCATGCTGGACAATGTATACATACCATCTCTATAAGTACGTATTGATCCCTATTTTACAGATGAAGGAACTGAAGCAAAGATAAGTGACTTTCCAAGGCCGCATGCCCAGTGAGTTTCCTCTCCCCACCTTCAAACCTTTGCTGTTACAAGCCTGGCCTACAAGTCTGGCCTAGTTCTGTGCAGACTCAGAGAAAGGAGGTCAGACTTCGTGCCTGCCTGGGAAGAACAGGGCAAGAGAGCCACGCCTCCATTCCAGGGAGAAAAATGATCCCGCTCAGTCCAGTCCAAGAGGGCCTTATAACATATATATAATACAAAAGCTCCCCATTAGATTTCTAGCACACTCAATAACTGGCCCCAAATTCCCACAAACCACACACACTGAATAAAAGCCCTGGAAGCCCTAGGCATTACACAGACTGGGACCCCTATTTCCTCTTCTTTTTCTTAATTTTAAAAAAAAGGGGGGGTAAATATATCTTATTCTTACTAATCTGGATTTTTGGCACCTTTTTCCCATGATTTCGAGCATGTTCTCCATCTCAGGTATTCAGGGAGTATCAGTCACACAAGTACCGAATTCACGGGGTACAAGAGTACAAAATCTCCTTCCCACTGCTGCCCAGCCATCCAGTTTCCCTGCCCAAGAGCAAATAATGACCCCTTTTCTGTTTCTTTTCACAGACATTTTTAGATACATAAGCAAATAACTAAGCATTCTCCCCTCAGAACCTGCCCACCCCAGGAAATAGTTCCTAAGCATTTACAATCATACCTAATAAAAGAGTAATAGGCAAGTTAACCATCACTCCACTCCACAAGCCACATCTACAAGCCAATCAAAGCGAGTATGCAAATTAACCTCAACCAAGATGGCTGCAGCCACAGAGAGCAGGAGGGAGGCATTTCCCAGCAATGGAAGAAGCCAAGCTTTCCGCCTGCCCTTGCCGGCCTAAGCCTCCACTCAAGGCTACAAAGTTTCAATTATAGAAGGTAAACAAATCCAAACAGAAACAGCTGCCACCACTGAGCGAGCAGGAGGCTTGGCTTCACTCCAGGCTACAAAGTTTATATTGTAGAAGGTAAATATATCCCAGATACCAAGGCCTCCGCTTGGGTCGCTGGGGGGCGTGGCTGGCCTGCAAACCACCACAGGCCCCTTGCCCAGGCCGCCCCATGCCCCAAGGGAACCCCCACCTTGATCCGGGGTACCCTTCAAGGCAAACCAACTGGCTCCCATCCATGCACCAGGCCTCTATCCTATCTAATAAAAGAATAATAAGCAGATTGACCATCATTCCAACACACAAGATCAAGATAGTTGCCCCTATGTGATCAAAGAACCTGCCCCTATATGGACACAAGATGGCCCCCACAAGATGGCCAGCAGGGGAGGGCAATTGGGAGGGACAGTTGAGCAGGCAAGCAAGGGAGGGCAGTTGGGAGGCACCAGGCCTGCAAGGGAGGACAGTTGAAGGTGATCAACCCTGCAGGGAGGGCAGTTAGGAGTGACCAGACTGGCAGAGGAGAGAAGTTGGGGGAAAACAGGCTGGCAGGGGGGGCAGTTAGACATCAATCAGGCTGGCATGGGAGTGGTTAGGGGTGATCAGGCTGGCCGGCAAAAGCAGTTAGGGGCAATCAGGAAGGCAGGTAGGTGAGCAGTTGGGAGCCAGCAGTCCTGGATTGTGAGAGGGCTGTCCAACTGCCCAGTGGGATCGGGCGTAAACACTGCCTTTCCCTGCCAGCAGTAAGTCTCTGTTCTTATTCTACCTGTTACTTCTGTTCTTTCCCTCTCCTCCTCCCGCCCAGGGCCCCAATCACTTTCAAGCTCACACACTCACACAGTGAACAAACATTTACTCTGTGCCAAGTCATGTATACCGTATACTAACTACTGGAAACCACAGAATGTAAGACTTGGTCAAGATCCCAAAGGAGGTGGTTGCTTGGAAAGAGACCAAAATGCAAGCAGTTGCAATAGTACTGGGACAAGTCCTAAACCAGATGGATGTGGAAGTGCTGTGAGATGGCAGAGAAAGGAATATAAAATGCTGCCTGAAGGAATCCAGCCAGGAATGACTAAGATGCCACCAGGCAGATACATCCCTGGCTCTCACCAGGTACATATGCAGCCGCCCACCTCCCTATCTCCTCTGACTTTCCTTAGTGGCTTCAACATCCAAGTGGATGACAACAACCCCTCCTATCCACCTCCCCAGACCTTCCGTGTTTCACGGTCTGCTCTCAGCCAGCAGCAGCATCTCCTTGTCTCTCAGTTCCCACTTTCCAACCACAACTGCCCATCCTTCCAGCTCTTTTGTTTAAGCACATGGCCCCAACCTCTTCAATTCCATAAACTCCTTCCCAACTTCACTTTCCTGTTAGTCTGGATTAAACATGTGTTAATAGCCTGAAACTAATCTCAACTTTCTCTGTACTCTAATAGCTGCCCAGCAAAGCCAAACCTTGGACGAACTGGACACAACCAGCTGCCTTCTTGTGCCTGCAAAAAACAGCCGACCATGGGTAGAGAACACAAACACACATATGCACATCTCAAACTTCAAAAGACCTAATACCACCCAGCATTCCAA